AATCATGTTTTTAAAAAGTAACTAAGTAACTAAGTAACTAGGTAATTAATTACTTTTGAAAATAAGTAATCAGTAAAGTAACGGGATTACTTTTTTGGGGAAGTAATCAGTAATTAATTACTGATTACTTTTTTCAAGTAACTTGACCAACACTGGCTGTGAGTGAGCTTTTGTTTCCCAAAAATAACATGTTGTACCAGCCAACTGGTAGCAATGCAACAGTCCTGTTATTTTAATATTTTGCAACCCTATGTTCTTTGTGCTAAAGAGTATTCATTTCAATGTGCCTCAGGCCCACTGATCAAGAATCACTTTTTCATAATATGCGTAATAGAAGTTGACTAATGCAATTGTGCTGTGTTATCTCAATGGTCATTTAAATTAATGAGTGATTAAAAATAAAATCTGCAGAACATTTTTTTTACAAACTAACAATGACTTCTCTCTTACCTGACGAAAGATTAAATCCAATTGTTTAATCTGGAAGAGACTGGTGGGACATATCCTGCATTCAAAATCTGATTTTTTTCTTCTCGCTATAGGAAGATTGCGATTTGGAAATGTAACTTCCTGATATCAGTTATAGAACTTTGACCCCATTGTAGTACCTGTCAGTGACACATAGGTTTGTTGTATTACATAGATAACCTTCAGGTCAATTTGACCTGAAAGTCAGTGGAGTTTAAAGGGTTCAAAAATGATTTGTTTCTTTGCAACTGTGAGACATATTTCATCCAAAACACACACTCTCTATGCTATTGACCTCATGTGTGAAATGTGAGAATGCAGGTGTCTTGCTTGGACATTCACCTGAATGAGAGACTCGGCTGGAGGACCAACAGACCAACTTTTAAGTGTAACTGAAATAGAAATCATCCATTTGTAAAATATAAAAGTTAACATTTACCTTCCACCAGTTAAATGTATGCTCTGAGATATTGTTTGTGGGTGATAAAAAGGGCTCAGGAGATTCTTTTGTAAGTTCACTAAGTTCATGGGTCATATTCTATTAAAGATTTGTTGCAGGCACAAACACTTCCATTCTGAGGGAAGAAGAACAGTTAATATCAGTGGCTTGGGGTGGCTGTAGCTCAGGTTGGAGAGCAGGTCAGCTACTAACTGGAAGGTTGGTGGTTCAATCCCAGGCTCAACCAGTCTGCATGCCAAATATCCTTGGGCAAGAAACTGTTACGGATTCAAATATTGGGGATGGATACAGGAGGAAAACCCAAAATAACCACACTGGTCCGGCCGGGTCAAGTCAAACAATGATTTAATGAACACACGCGTGGGAGATAGACACCATACAGCAGACAGCATCAGATCTCAAAATGGTGGAGCCTTGATCAAACTCTTATAGCCTCTAGTGGCCCCCACCTAATCATCAGAGCCTAAACATTCTTTCTCACACAGCGCCTAAGCTACGACCTTGGCTCCCTGTTTATCTGCTCCTGATGAAATGGGGCAGTATGCTCTGTTCTCTTCTAATCAGACAAATGAGACGATGACTTTCTGTGA